TAGATGGATCAGTGGATGGGTGGATGGTTGGATGAGTAGATGGATGGATGTGAAGATGGATGAAAGAATGGTTGGATGAAGGAAGGAATCAATGGAAGAAGGGATGGATGGATGGATGGATGGACCAGTAGATGGGGGATGGATGGATGGATGTGTAGATGGGTGGAAGAATGGGTGGATGAAAGAAGGAATGGGTAGAGGAATGGATGGATGGATGGATGGATGGTTGGATGCGAGATGAAGTGGGATGCATAAGAGGTCTGAGTCTTAAACTATGAGCCGAGTTCTCCTTCCAAAGGTAGGAACCCAAGGCCCGAGGTACTCACGTGGTAGGAGGCGCGCTCCTCCCGGTCCATGGGCCGAGTGACATACATCCGTCCAGACATGGAGTCGATGCTGAAGACCTCCATGGGGGGCTGGTCGGCGCCCACGCCCGTGATGCTGTACCGGATGGGGATGTCGTTGTCTTTGTCAGACCGGATCTGGAAGGAGGAGCCGGAGGAGAGGCATGTCAGCCTGCCGTGGGGAGCAGGGGCTATGCTCCCTAAACGTACACGCACCCAGCCCCGAATTTCCTTGCACTTGGCCATCTCGAGGTACTTCGGGACCTAACACTTTATCCACATTGGGAACCGGAAGGTCAGTCTGAGATCTGGGAGTCGTAACTACACGTCCAGTGGCCCACCAGGTAACGGGGAAAGATAAGACACAATATTCCAAGGTAAAGTCTCTGCAGGGAGCGTAGGTCACAGAGTAGAGACCTCCAACACCGCTGAGGAAGCCTGGAAGCAATGGTGGAAAATGGCCACCACCCTGACGCAAATGATCCTTCCGTCCGCCATCAGACTGGAGGACGGATAACGGAGCAGTCGCCGTAGAGTCCAGAGGTAAAAGAGGTTGGGACCCGGCCCGTGTATGTGCCCTAAATTTTCACCTGTGTCCCACCTTTTCGCTCCTTCGATGGAGGCACCAGGGATAGGATCCGGTCCCTGAGGGGCAGGGAGGCCCCGTGACCAGCCTGGAGACACAGATTTCACCGTGAAGCCTGTCGTCAGGATGGCCACCGTGCGCCATACACACAGAAGTGTTCGTGCAGAGAAGCTGGGTGTTGTTGAAAAAGCAACTTAATAATGTTTCTGTGGCTCCCAACTCGGGAGGAAGTCAGCGGGGGCTGAAGGGGGGCACTGAGGAGTGAGACGAGCACACAGTTCAGTGTTCTCCGGGTGGCAGGGGCGGGGGACGGGAAGAGCAGTCCTGGGGACAAGGGATGGACAGCAGTAGAATGAAAAACGAGATGCACAGTGTGGTGACAGATGGCGACTGAGCTCCTCACGGCGAGCGTTTCGTCGTGTAAATAACTCGAGTCGCCCGACACCAGGTGTGTGTTGCACAACTGAGATTACCGTAATCCCCTATGGGAGCCACGCTTCAGTACAGAATTTAAAAACGGGCCGTGCGTCTTCCATTTAGAGGAAGCAAAGATCTTGTCACAACAAGGGACACCTGATGGGAACGGGGTCACCAGCTGTAAGGTAACTGGCTTTGCTGAGCCAGGGGAACGTAAACCCCGGAGACTGAGAAGGTGTGGAGGCCGAGGTCTGACCCACAGACTGGAGTTTAACGTTGCCTACGGCCGACTCTCGGACACGGGTTTCTCCCATGCCGGTCCGTCTGTCTACGGAGGTTTTCCAGTAAATATGGTATATTTTTTCCTCCTTACGATTTCCTTAACGACACAGAATTTCCTCTAGCTGCCTATGCTGTAAGCTCACAGTCTGCGACACACCTAACATACGACATACGTGCTCATCGCCCGTTTACCTGGTCCGCAAGGCTTCTGGCCGACAGAGGGCTCTCAGCAGTCAGGCTTTGGGGAGCCGGAAGTTAACATGCAGGTTTCTGGCCATGCCCGACCCTGCATTGTTCACGGTCAAACACACACCTTTACAGAATAGTTTTTTTGTTTTTGTTTTTTTTTTTGAAATCAAGCAGCGGGTTCGTAACAACATTTTATAACAAAATGGACCACAATGAAATCCTCTGGCCTACGAGCAGACCCGGACCAGACATTCTTCGTTCAGACACCCCCGAGCTCATGGACACGGGACAGACGGGTGCTCGCCAGAGCTGGGGGCCCAGGGTGGGCGAAATGAGAGAAGGTGACATCGGGGCCCACTTCCTGGTCTGGAGTAAATGAGTCACAAATGAAGGGACAGCACGATGTGTGCAGCACGGCTGTGTGACCACAGCCCATGGGACTCTACTGCATCCTTGCCTGTCCCCAGAGTTGTCACCATAAGAAAGTCTGCTTTGTACGCATGCAAGGTGACAGGTGCTGAGTAGACATCTTGGGTGACGGTCTGGAAATGTCCCCCTTCCTCCTCCACACACCCTTCCACTCCCCCACTCCCCTCACAGGCCCCTCCCCCACCCTCAGCCCCTCCTCTGCAATCCCCTCCCTCATTCCCATCCTCCCCACCCCTCCACAAATCATTCCCCACCTCCCTCCCCTCCCTTCCATGTACCCCTCCCTCCACAGACCCTCCCCCACCTGCATGCCTCTTCCCCACCTGAATACCCCTCCCCTCCATTAACCTCTCCCCGCACATATCCCTCCCTCAGTCCCACACCCCTCCCCCACCCCACTCCCTCCACAGACCCTCCCCACCCCCACGCCTCCCCCCAGTCTGTGGGGACCATCTTTGTTCCTGTCTCCCCCCTCCTGGCTTCCCTTGCTCTGCCCTGAGCAGCAGCACCCAACAGGGGTTCAGGCCAGGCCGCTGAAAGAAGGGCCAGGGCCGGGGACACATGTCATTCTGTGCCGTCCTCTTGGGCCGTGGAAGCGCTGGAGTCACCCCCGCCTCCTGCAGATGATGACATGCTGGGCCCTGAGCCTGCCACCCTCTGCCTGCTGGCTCGCTAACAGCGCTGGGCCTCCCAGCACAGGTGTCCCCTCCGTCTTCATCCCCCGTCCCTCTGCTGCCCACCAAGTGGCGTCCGTCAGACAGAGCAGCTGAGGCTGAGCAGCCCCGCGCGGCGGCCATGCCCAGGGAGCAGCGCCCTGCAGGAGGACAGGTGCTCGACCGGCCACCCAGCTCCAGCCCCAGGGGTTGGCTCACAGGAGGGCAGCCCCTCGTAGGAGAGCCACCTCTTCGACCCCATGGGAGGGACCCCGTGTCAAGGTGTGTTTGCCGGGGACACGGGGTGGTGGTGACAGTCTGCGTCCCAGAGAGGAAGCCCCGTTCTGCCAACCGGGCCCCCGGTCTTGCTGTGTGTGTGGGACTTGTCATGGCAGGTCAGGCCCCACTGCAGAGACGGGGGACTGTGTGATTAACGGGAAAAGCTCAAGGCCAGCTGCCTGAGAAGCACCCGTCTGCCTCCTGGGAGCGAGGAAAGTTCTAGAAAGGTCAATGAGTTCTGCGCTTGAGTACACGGCTCGTCCCAGACAAGCGGCGGAGCCGTGCGGATCGAGGAGGCCCTTGGGTAGGAGCCAGGGGTCCTCCGGTGCCGTACTGCCCACCCGCCGGCACGCCTCTGCCGCGTCCTGTGGGCCAGACTGCCCATCCTTCACAGGCGTATTTAATCTGAAAAGGACCCACCACATATTTAAAGAGGTTTTTATTTTTTGCAAAGGAATCTCATTACGTTTGACCACCGGTGCCTTTGCTTAATCCCCCGGTGCCTCTCCCCGTGCGCGTCCCGGGCTCTGCCCCGGCTGGGGACGCTCTGAGCCTCCCACAGTTTACCACATTAAGAAGAAATACTGTACAAATGAATTCAGCAGATCAGGGGAGAGCAGTTTCCCCTTGATTTGTGTCCGGAAAATGAGAGAAACATCACAGCAGCGTGCGAGAGAGCCATGAATAAAGAACACAGACAGGCATTTCCATCACCCACCTCGCGTTTATGATGCCGCGGAGAATCGCGCTCTTTTGCATTTGTTATTAAAGGACAGAACAGATGGTAAGAGGTTAGTTTAAAGGGACGTCTACATTAAAGTAGCTTACGGTGCGGGCGATTGTGCTCGCCCGGGGACTTCTGCTTGGAAGGCCGACTCTCGTCCTTCGGAAAGGCCGGATGAAATGAAGGATTCTGGCAGAATCTTCCCCAAGGAGGAGTTATTTGCCTAATCTCAAATGAACTTGAAACTGGAGAAAAGTCACCATGTGTGGTTTTGAATTGCAAACACCTTGGGAGTTTGTTCCTGAAGCATTGGAGGGGAGAAGGGGAGAGGATCACGTCCAGATTCCAGCAGAGAAAGCCCCAGGCCAGGACACGGAGGCACCCGCCAACCGGGGAGGACCCTGGGCTTCAGGCTGCGCCCCCAGCCCGGCCCCTGCCCCCTGTCCCCGGCGGACCGAGGTACTTCAACAACCCGTCCTGCGCTGTGGGCCAGGCCCTGCACCGGACGGACGCTGCCCTGCCCTCCCACAGCTTGTGGGCCAGGGGAGTCAGAGACACCCAACAACGTGACGCCCTCTTCGTCCACAAAAAGAAAGTGCGATGGAGAGTGTTGGAGAAGGAATAGGGTCTGAGAGGCTCCAGGGGAAGAACTTAGAGGCAAGGTTCCCATTGGATGTTTGGTCTTGTGCACTGCCTTGTACGGTACTGGACGTGCACACCGCACACACATCACACACACCCCAACACGCATGCCTGTGTGCACACACCCACACACATGCACACAAACACAATGCTTGCACACACACGCACACATAGCTCGAAGCCCTCTCCCCGTGTGCCGCCCGTGTCCTGCAGGGCGCTGGCTCCGGGTCCCCAGGGCTTCGCCTGGCCGCTGTGGCCTCCCCGAGACTCTCGCCCTAACATTTCGAAGCTGCTTCCAAGTCCTTAGTGTCACGTTCTCCAGGAGGGTGTAAGTCTTCAGTGAGGTGTACCAGCTCCTTCTCCTCGTTTGGGATTAAACCTGGAGACTTTCCCAGGGAAACAGATGGCGCACCGTCGTTTTCGTTACCGGAGTTGCAGTGGTCCCCACTTCTCCGACCCCCAGAAGCGCAGAGCCCTAATGGCAACTGCGTCCCCCGGCCGGCCCCAGGACTGTGCAGGACACAGGTGGGACGACCGGCCCTCGGCAGGCGCCACACTGAGAGAGGCGATTTGCTTTTGAAACTTGATTCCCACCGGAGCCCAGAGGTAAGAGGACGATTTCACTGGATGCATTTGTAGCTCCCGTGTGGCCGTCGCGGGGCCCCAGGTCCGACTGCTGGGGCTTCGCAGTTTTCATGCTGACAGAATCAGGGTCACCTCAGGCTTATGTATCTGCTGTCCTATCTGCTTTGCATGAACACTTGCCTGTCCTCCCTCCCTGTGTGAGCACGAAGGAAAGGCCGCATTCCTCTCTGGGCCAGAGGAACACAGGGCAGGTCTGTCTGCTAGGACGGTGCGTGCGGGCCTGGCACCGTGCACACCGCGGGAGCCCGGCATACCCTGGGTGGAGGAATGAAACCAGACCAGGACAGACGGC